ACCTAGATGTTACGACGTAATATGGCTTGGGTCTTCTGTCGGAATGGGTTTTGGTTCCGTCTCGATCGAAAACATCCCCAAAGACCGATGTAAACCAGTCTGAACCACACTAGGAGTTGGACTTAGCCAAGCCGTTAGCTAGAGGCTAACAGTCAATGCATTTTCAATGACAGCGGCTAGCAGCTAACGGATAGCTGCTAGATGGGAGAAGTAAGATAAACACTACTACTAATAATAATAACAATAATAATAATAATATTAATAGTAACGATGTAGTAATGAGGCTTAAAGTGACAAGAAAGAAGAAAAACAGAAAAGGACTACAAATCTGAGCTAGCTTTAGCTAACTGAGGTTAGCTAAAGCTAAGGCTGGTGGGTGTGTCAGATCATCGGTAGTAAACAATGTTTATAGTCAGCAGCAAATCAATAATCACTTTTATCATCATTGCTCCTCTTTATTAGAACTGAATCGCTGATTGGTTCCAGATTAATCAGAATCAGAACCTCCAGACTCAGCAGAACACCACTGTGGTTCTGTCAGCTGGTCAGAACCAGAGAGCCGTCATGTGGAGGTTCTGTAGAAACCCGGTTGTGTTCCTGGAGGTTCTGATCTGGAGGTTCTGCTGGGTCTCATGAAGTTCTGGTCCAGACTATCCTGGTTTTGTTAAGCAGAATCCAGATGTTCTCTTCAGAATGAAGCTTGCTGCTCCGAGGTGTCCACCAACATGCCTGATTTAAAACATCTTCAGTTGTTTTTACTCCAGAGGAAAAGTTCGTTTCACTATGTTTATATTAATATAACAAACAGCAGAGCTGCACAGAGACTGAGCCCCGTACTTTGACTAGGACACAAGAGAGGTCTGTGGGGATTGTGTGCTATGTCGTTCTGGTGGTTCTGGGTCCGGAAGGAGAAGAACTGAGGCGGGCCTCCTTCATCCCCTCCTGTCATCGATTCTGAATGTTAGATGATGAATCTGTATCGGTTATTGATTGATCAGGTTTGACTGAGTCGGTGGTGGCAGCTGCCTGTTCGAGGGTCGGACAGCGAGTTCTCCACCTGGACAGGTGAGCTCCAGCCTGCCTTAGGTCAATGTCTACTTAATAATCAATCAGATCATTGATCATCACCAATAAGGTCACCTGGGAGGGCTTTTTTTGTGAAAGGCTTCTGCTTGTGTCCTCAGGAGAAGCTACTATGCCGGCAACTGGGCTAGCTTCACCTTCAACGGCCTGCTCACCTGGATACAGGAACAGAATGTGAGATTATTGGTTATTGATCATCTGATCACTGATTATTGATCTCCAGCTGATTGATCTGTGTGTGTTGGTAGGAGGAGCCAAAGCCAGAGGAGGTCAGGGATTGGTCAGGTCTAACGGAGGAAGGGGAGGAACTAATTCACCTGTCACAGGCAGACTCTGCCTCCATCACCAACCTGCAGGTGTTCAGCTACGTCAGGTAAGCTCCGCCCCCTGGTTCACCTGTGGGCTGGGACAGACCTGTGAGCTGTTTACATCTTCCCAGTGAGGAAGAGGAGGAGGAGGAAGCTGCAAACACCATAGAAGAAGAGAAAGCAGCTGATGAAGAAGCGGTTAAAGAGTCATCAGAAACAGAATCTGCAGGTGGGACCTCATCAATGCTCATTATCTGTTATTGTTCAGCATCTGGATTAACGACTCACATGTTCAGACTCAAAGGAGGAAGATGAGGAAGAGGAAGGAGCTGGGGAGGAAGAGGAGCAGGTGAGGAAGAGTCAGCGCATTAATCAGGTCTGATCATGTGACAATAACGGTTATCAACCAATCACAGCCTGCTCAGGCAGAAGGGGAGGAGCCAGAGGTTGACCAGCCCCGCCCCTCTCCCTCCAGCCAATCAGAGCCAAGCAGGAAGAAGATCAGTTACGCCCAGCTGGTGAAGGAAGGCCGGAGGTACAACATCGACCTGGTCTCAAAGGTAAATGCAGCTGTGATGTCATCATCTGGACAGCAGCTGATGACGTCATACACTAAGCCCCTCCCCCTCCTCCTCAGCTATTGTTTTCTCGCGGCTCATTGGTCGATCTGCTCATCAAGTCCAACGTCAGCCGCTACGCTGAGTTCAAGAACGTCACCAGGATCCTCACCTATCGCCATGGCAACATAGAGCAGGTTGGTTTTTGGTCTGCCGCCCACCTGCCGGGTTCTCTGCTGACCTGTGACTTTTGACCCCTGCCAGGTGCCATGCAGCAGAGCGGATGTGTTTGCAAGTCGCCAGCTGTCGGTGGTGGAAAAGAGGAAGTTGATGCGCTTCTTGACTTCCTGTGTGGAGGAAACGGAGGAGCAGACAGGTGACTACTACCTGTCCTCCTGATGACATCAACTATTCAGCCTGAGGCATTGTGGGTAATGCAGTCTTCTGCCTTCAGCCTACCACGGTCGGCCATATTTGGAGTTCCTGCAGGACCAGCAGCTGGGGGACAACCTGCAGCACTTCCTGCTTCACTCCATCGCCATGGTAGCCGAAGATACACCCACAGAGGAAGGTCTTGCCTCGACACGTCATTTCCTGCGCAGCCTGGGTCGCTATGGCAACACTCCCTTCCTGTTTCCTGTGTACGGCCTTGGAGAGATCCCCCAGTGCTTCTGCAGGTGAGAACCAGCCGTTCCCATGGCAACGCCACCACAGGTGGAAGGGAGGGAGGTTCTGCTTAGCAGACATCAGTGCTGGATCTTCTTGATTTTAAAGTTCTGGTTTGACCCGGTTTGGTCTTGGGGCGATTCTGCTGAAAGCTTCTCAGGTTCTGGTTGTGTTGGGTCGGGTTTGATGAGCTGGTGCTGCCTCCAACCGGGCTGGGTTTGTCACAAGCTGGACAGTGTTTGTTTGCAGATGTAACATAAATTGTTGCAGTGAAGAAGGAGCGTGGCCAGACAGACAGCTACCTCTGACTGGACGGCATTAGAAGCCAGTTGAACGGTGGTTCTGGTTCTGGTTCTGACGCTCTGACATGGTGTTGTTGCAGGATGAGCGCCGTATTCGGAGGGATCTACTGCCTCAGACATTCTGTCCACTGTCTCATCGTAGACCGGGATGCCAACAGGTAACCATGGTAACCGCACCAACCAGAGCCATGGGGCGGTTTGGACCGGTAGAGGTCTGTTTGGATCAGAACCAGAGTGTTTGACAGTGTTCGGTCCTGCTCCGGCCTGCTCTGACCCGGTTCTCAAAGAGCGGTCCTGGTTTGACCTTTGACCCGACTCATCTGTATTAGTGATGAACCCCAGGTCCAATCAGAACCACTCAGAGGTCAAATGTCAACCCAGTTCTGCTCCATTAGGCTGCAGAGGGGAAGAGGTCAAAGGGCACGACTCCATCCAAATGGAGCATGGATCTGGTTCTGGTCCAACTGATGCTTTGTAACATCACTTCCTGTTGCAGGTGCAAGGCGGTGATCGACAGCCGAGGACAGCGAATCAGCTGCAGCCACATTGTCATGGAGACCAGTTACCTGGACAGGAGCAAGGTGGCCACACCCTCCAGGTGAGTTCAGTGAGACCACGGAGCACCTGGTGATGGTGATGGTGATGTAGATGATGATGATGCGTGTCTCTAGGTTCCTGAGCCGAGCTGTCCTTATCACCGACTCCTCAGTCCTTCCCTCAGAGTCCGACCAGCAGGTAACCCTCATTCCTCCCCCACTCATCAGCAGGTAACCCCCACATAACCAGGTAACCCCCACATAAGTAGGTAGCCCCCACATTAGCAGGTAACTTCGCCCCTATCCACACTACTGGATCTAGATTGGAGCAGTAAACAGGAAGTAGGAGCTTAGCTATCTCACCTGTGTGTGTGCAGATCTCCATGGTAACGGTTCCCCCTGAAGGAGGAAGTCCTGCAGTGAAGATGGTGGAGCTCAGCCCGTCCTCCATGACCTGCATCCCTGGAACCTGTGAGTGGGCAGGGCTTCATCAGGTTGCCTTAGAGACGGTCACAAGCTCTAATTGGTTTCCTGTTTCAGATCTGGTCCACCTCACCTGTCGGTCGGTTGGCTCTGCCCACCAGGACCTGTCGCCGTTGGTAACCAGGATGTTCAGAACCACAGAGTCTCAGGAGGAAGGTGAGCAGCAGAACTGACCCGGTTGTGACCAATCAGAGCAGAGAAGGAGGAGCCAACACTTCCTCTTCCTCTGTGGTGTAATAGCCATGTTGGTGGTAATGAGGAAGGCCTCTGGCCCCTCCTACCTTTGTCGGGCCTCCTTTGGCCCCACCTCATCTGACCCCGTCCCCTGATGTTGTCCCTCTGTCCCCAGACCGACGTCCCTCGGTCCTCTGGAGTCTGTACTTCAACATGGCGGACGGCACAGCGTCGCAGGTCGAAGGTCAGCCTCTGCCTTCTAACGTCCACATCTGCCATGGTCCAGACAGCGCTCTGGGACACGAAGATGCCGTCCAACAGGTGAGACACCTAGGGTCACCTGATCCTCACAGCTGGTGCTGCATTCAGGGTCATCATGGCCTCCAGCTCTGTTTTTTCTGCTGTTTTCAGGCGGCGTCCATCTTCCAGAGCATCCTCCCAGAGGAGGAGTTCTGTCCTCCGGCACCCAACCCAGAGGACATCGTCTACGATGGAGACAACACGTCCACTGGAGAGGACAGGGGAGACATGGGGCAAGACGACGAGCAGAACCCAGAACAGAACCAGAACCAGGAGAACAGGAACCAGAATCAGGAGAACCAGAACCAGGAGAACCCAGACCCAGAGCAGAACCAGAACCAGGGGAACCCGGAGCTGCAGAGCGTTGGACCTGAAGAACGTCCAGCTTCATCCTGAAATCTTCCAGAACCAGCACCGGGTCAAACTTTCTGCTGGCTTACTTTGTTCTGTTTCAATGTTTTGTCTCAATAAAGTTTCATTATGAATCCAGAAGCACCAGCAAGTCAGATGTTTACATACCCATCAGCATCTCAGCGCATATTGGACCAGAACTGACATAAATAATAGCAGAAATATATATATAAAGCGCAAAAAAACATAGATTAATATAGTCGCAACGCGCCTGCGCAGCTGCATCGTGTGCTCACGGGAAGTGACGAAGCGAAAGTAAATCTCTTCAGAAAGTTTCCTCAGCCGCGGCTTCCAAGTTGTGCGAATCGGTTTACCTGAACAGGTGAGTCCGGTCTGGTTCGGTTGTGATGTCAGAGTTCCGAACCTGCACGGAGCTGTTCGGCCCGGGCGGGTCTGGACCTGAGCTCGATACCAGCCAGGTTCTGGAGCTGCAGCTCAGGCCGTATAGGTTCTGCTCTCTGATTGGTTCTGATGAGTTCAGCTGTCAGTTTAAACGGAACCAGGAATGATTGGATCATGAGTAGTTCAGGTTCGGGTTCGGATCTGGATCAGAACCATGGCTAACAGCTGATTTCTGCTCCGGTTCTGTAGCTTCACTCCCTGGATCCTGATGGATGAGACCTGAGGGAGAGGAAGAGGAGGCCACCTGACCCGTCGGTCCATCATGGTTCCGATGGTTCTGTTACTGCTCTCACCAGCAGAACTCTAACCCGAATTATTCAGACCGTCCAGGATGTACGGTAAGCTAGAGAAGGGCCACGATTCATCTTCTCCTTCTTCTTTAGATTTTAACGGCAGCTTGCATCCATTTACGTTGCACTACTGCCCTGGGCCACGATTCAGAAAAAGTATGTAAAGTTTAATTCAGAATCAGCCGGGGTGTTGGACCCTGCTGAGCAGGTTCACCAATCAGATGTAAGGGTTTATTCTCAGAAAGGGGCGGGGCCTGGCGGCAGACCCATACCTTTTTTGTAACATGCTTTACTCACTCCAGAACCGAAGGGGGCTCTACTTCCCACAAGAGCCTCGATCTTACGTTTTTTTTTTTTTTTTTTTTTTAATCTTTTGATCTGTTAACACAATTATCAAACACTAAAGTAGTTGTTGGTTTTACTCTTAATTATTTTACTAAAGCTGCAGACAACTTTACTTACACAACTTTTTTTTATTATTAGAAAGATTATCTAAGGTGGGAAATAGCGCCCCCTTCAGTTCTGAGAGGGGGGGTGTGTTCTGGAGAGTCTCCAACTCTCCCAGTTATGACTCTTAGGCCGACTTTGTGTTTCAATATGGCTGCTCCCAGCATCCGCAGCAGTGTGGGTTTTAGTTCCCTGCAGCAGCAGACAGACCAAGGTTTTTATTGGCTTTAGTGGCCTTTATTTGATGTTGACTTGACAGGAAAGGGGGTAATGGGAGAAGGGGGAAGACATGTGGCAAAGGTTGCCAGGACAGGAATCGAACCTGCGACGGCCGTGTCAAGGACTAGTGCCTTCATATGTGGGTTGTGCTTAACCCCTGCACCACCACAGCACCCCATGATGAATGTTCTCTGTCCTGCAGGACCTTCAACTATGGAACAAGAACCGGACCCGGACCTGACCATCGTCCTGCTAGGGAACTCTGGCGTGGGGAAAAGCGCGTCGGGGAACACTATCCTAGGCCGCACGGTGTTCCGGTCCCGGGCGTCCTTCAGTCCCAGCAGCATCCCTGTCAGACAGGAAGCGGGTCGGGTCTTTGGGACGCAGGTCCGGGTCGTGGACACAGCCGGGATCCTGGAGTTCGAGGAGCAGATCCGGTCCTGCTGCCAGGAAGTTCAGCTGACCAGCCGGGCCCACCTGTTCCTGCTGGTTCTGAAGCTGGACCGCTTCACCCAAGAGCAGAACCGGGCGGTTGAGGCGTCCCTCAGGGCAGTCGGGGGGCGGGGTTTCAATCGCTGCTTCTTGCTCTTCACCCACGGAGACGCCCTGAAGGACACCTCGTTAAGGGACGCCGCCTCATTAAGGGACGCCGCCTCATTAAGGGACGCGGCCCTGAGGGACTTTGTGTTCAAGGACGAGCAGAGCTCGCTGCCGGAAGTGGCCCGCAGGTTCTGTGGGAGGATGCACCTGTTCAACAATGAGGACGGAGGAGGACAGCAGGTCCAGGAACTGTTGGACAAGGCTGAACACCTGCTACTAACTGCAGGTAAAGAGCTAGCAAGCTAATTAAATAATAAGCTAAAAAGCTAATTCCATAACGAGCTAACAAGTTAATTAGGTAGCCAGCTAACGAAGTGGTATCATGTAATATTGACTTTATATCGTGTTCTAATGTTTTTCCCTGCAGTGTTGCTTTGATTCTTTCATGTTTGACAAATCCTTTAATCTCTATGGCAACCATTCATATGCCTGGGTAGACTTAACCCCACCTTCGAGGCACAGCTCCTCCATCACTCAGCTCCTTCAGACTAGCCAGCAGCAATTAGCAAACAGCTGGTGGAACTGCTGAGCTCATTTCTGGTAATAATGGTAAAGGGTTGACAGAGGAGCCATGTTGGGATGACTTCCTGGAGGTGGAGCTTCAGAATGAGCATGAGTTTCTCAAAGAGGCAGAGACCCAATTTCAAGGCATTTAATCAGGAAGTAAAATTTCTATTAAGTCATATTTAATATATCAAGCATTTTTATAACAACTGAAGGTAAAATGGAAAACATGGTACCGGCCTTTTAAGGAGTCAGCAGGTGGCCCACTGGTTCTCTTGGGTTGATTGTTCTGTTTGATATTCAAACTGGTTTAAACTGGAAGGGCGTGAATACTTTTCTCCTCACTTTCTCTGGTCCTGCAGAATCTTTCAGTGACGGGATGGACCTGGTCACAGGTTCTGATGGTCCAGATGGTTCTGCTGGTTCCACCGCCCCGCTGAGGGACAGGAGGATCGTCCTGATTGGACCAGCTGGTTCTGGAAAGAGTTCTGCTGGGAACACTCTGCTCGGGTTCCAGCGCTTTGAACCAGACTCGGACTTTGCCGGAGTGTGGTCGGACCCGGAGCGCGGTTCTGCTGAGGTGGGCCGGGTCCAGCTCACTGTGGTGGATTCGGCCGGACTGCCGGAGGAGGTTCTGACACTGGACCAGCTGGTTATAGAGCTGGAGGCCCGGATGTTCCTGGCGGCACCGGGACCTCACGTACTGGTTCTGGTGCTGAAGATCGGCCGGTTGAGCTACGGTTCCACCCAGCTGCTCCGCCTGCTGACCCAGCTGCTGGATCAAAACCAGGACCTGGCCCGGCATGCTGCGGTTCTGTTCACCCACGGAGACGTCCTTGGGGGGCGTAGCCTGCTGGACCGGGTCCAGGCTAGCAGCTGTGTGTCGGACCTGCTGACCCGCTGCGGCGGCAGGCACGCAGTTCTGGATAACACTCGGAACCGGGACCGGGTCCAGGTGGATCGGTTCCTATGCCTGCTGGACCAGATGGTCCAAGAGAACTCGGGCCGGTTCTGGAGCCCAGCTGACTGGAACCGACCACCAGAACCTGGTCAGACATTTTGGAGCAGACTAAGAGGATCGGGTCTGCTCAGGGTTCTGTCTGCAGTCGGATGGATCCAGATTTTGCTGGTTAATAACCAGAACTATTGGTTCTGCTGCTGACCCAGAGACACGGGACCAAGCCCAATCCTGGTTCTGGTCCTGGCTCCAGTTCTGAATATATCTGGAGCATCCAGAACCAGTCCTGTCAAACGGGACCGGGTCTGTCCACATTCTGCTGCTGAGCCAGAGACAACAGTTTTTATTTTTCTGCAGAACAAAAATATTTCTGTTTTTTATTTTGCATTTTTGGATGATTTTATAATAAATTTTTAAAATTTCATAAATCTGGATTCGTATTGTGGTGTTTTTATCCATGAAGCTAGTTAAAAGTATTCACACCCCCAGTTGGCAGCAACAGCATATGGGAAGCTATTGCTAAGCTAGTCTGTAGTTTCAGTGTTTTACTGCCATGTTAGCTTGTTGTTAGCTTGCTGTTAGCTATCACCCCACATTACCCAGAATCTCCATCTACTTTCTGTTGAAGGTTTCTAAGTTTCCTTTGCAGCAGTCAAACTCATCACTTCTCTCTCTGCAACTTTCTTTTACTGCTCTCCAGTTATTAAACCGAATGTTGAGATTCAGAACCAGCTGGGTCCAGAACTGAGACACCGACTGCTGGTTCATGGCCCCACCAGTAGGGGGAGACGCCACCTATTTCCCAGCTGAAAGTTGTTTGGTCCAGTCAGTTCTCACTGGGCTCATCTAGAGGGACGCCGCTCCTGCACATGCCTGGTCCTGAGATCCTACCAGGACCTGACCTTGATCCAGAACCTGATCTTGATCCAAGTCTGGACCAGAGCCGGACCAGAATCCTTCAGCACCAGATCCAGGAACAGCAGCAGCTCGGTTCTTCTCTCTCACTTCCTGCTAGGTTAACTTTGGCTCCACTTTGACTCGGATCTGCAGCGACTCGGGTCGACCAACAACTCTCAGGTAGGAAGAACCGCTACGGTCAGAACCTCTACGGGTCAGAACCAGTACGGGTCAGAACCCGTACATGAACACACTCTAGGGATAAAGTAACATCTATAGTAAAAATATTAGTATGAATGAAGGTTTATGCTGGATGTTCTGGAGGGGTGTGACCTCTGGGTCCATGGAGGTCTCTGGTGCAGTGGGTTTCCACTCAGGGCTCTGGATTTGGGGGCAGCTGGTGAACATCATTATGGAGAAACCTTACAGACACACACACTCAGACTCAGGTGTGTGTGTGTGTGTGTGTGTGTGTGTGTGTGTGTGTGTGTGTGTGTTTGGCTGCGGTTTGCAGTAAATGCATCAGCTGTTAGCGTGAAGCATGTTCGTTTCACTGAGCTCCTATTATTAAACACGCCGTTAGCTGTTCTGGTTTCTGTTTTTTCTCTTTCTGCGGGTTTAGAGGCAGATCAAAGGAGACCTTGTTACATAAAACACCTGCTGCCTTCCAGACCAGTCAGGTCTGCTGGTTCTGATCTGCATCCAGAACCAAAAACAAACACGGAGAAGCTGCATTCAGTTTCTATGCACCGTAGATCTGGAACAAACTTCCAGAAAACCGAAAATCAGCCGAAACCCTGAGTTCCTTTAAGACCAGAAACCTGGTTAAAGTTGCTTTGATTATTGATGACTGGAACTCTCATCAATATAATCTATAATGATTCTGATGACAGCGTTTAACATCATGTCTGATGTGTTTGTGAAGTAAATGTGGTCAAAGTGGCTGTCTGCCTGTAAAGGTCCACCAAAGGAGCGTCTCAGTGCTCTGCTGCGTGGGTGGAGGATGTGAGTCCTGTCTGGCTGGAAGTCATGTGACCCAAACCCACTCTGACCACTGACTCGCATTTCCTCTCTCCACAGATCAGCGAGGGGGTGGAGCCAGCTATCGCGCCATGTTGCCTTGGGTGACAATCCTGATGGTGATGATGATGAAGAGAGACAGTTAGTGACCTTTCATTGTTCCCATCAGAACCACAACCAGAATCACTTGGCTCACGATGATGACACCTTTATCCATAAATCAGAACCAGCAGGATTTGATTTAACCACCGGCTTACCAATGTTCAGGGTAACCGTGGAAACAGTGCCTTAACCAAAACCATAAAAACCATCATTATCATTCAGATTTAATCAGATAAAATTGATAAAATGTTAAAATCAGGTGGTTTTTTTAAGCCTCAAAATCAGCTTCACTCAGGCTGTGGAGGAAAACTGCTGCTAATGCACTAAAAGCAGAAATAAGTTTTAGCTTATAGCGCATTAGCGCTTTAGCTAACTTTGAAAACATCTAGCATGCTTGGCTTCCCTTAAATAATTTTTTCCAGATAGATTCTATAGCAGAAATTTATTTGGTTGTTTGTAAACTTTCAGTCAAATAAAATTCAACATCTGTGTAGAAGTTTTGTTTTCGACTGTTAAGAATCCTGCAGGTAGTTAGCCGTTCATGCTCTTATTTTGAATGTGGGGGGGACACTTCCTCTCCATATATTCTCTTTGCTTCCGAGAAATTTTATGGGGCAAATTCCAAGGCTGCAATAAACGAACAAATGAAGAATACAAACAACCTGGATATTATTTAAATATTTAAATGCAAAAATTAATGAATAGCTCTCCAAACGCCTGGCAGTTTGAGGGAAGGTTGTTGTTTCTGGGCAGCAGGAGGAAGTTCATCTCTGCTGGAACTTGTGAACAGAATCTGGGAGAAAATGATTCAAAGACTTGAAGGATGCAGAACATTAAAGTCTGGTTGAAACAGATGTGATAAACCTTCAATAACTGAAGAGAAATAACAGTGCCACCTAGTGGACAGGTGATGTACTGATCCATAACATGTTCTCTATGTGTGACCTGTGACCCCAGCTGCCTCGGCTGACATCACCAACATAACTGCAACCAGCGGCGAGAGACTCAAGCTGTCACCAGACCTCAGAACAGGGAGGATGGGGACCGGACTGGAATTCAGATGGACCCACCCCCACTTGCTGCTGGACAACCGGAACACCAGGTGTCACCACGACCGCTGTGAGCTGCTGGAGGACGGGTCGCTGAGCTTCAGCAGAGTCCAGCCAGAGGACTCTGGAATCTACACGCTGGAGGTCTACAACCTACAGGGGAAGAGGCAACATGAGAAGGTGTTCCGCCTGCAGGTGGAAGGTGAGTCCAGCAAACACTAACAGCCTCCATAAATACCGTCATGCTAACACTTGCCTATCCATTGCTAACTCCAGCCTATCCAATGTTAAAACTAGACTATCCAATGCTAACATTAGCCTATCCAGTGCCAACTCCTGCCTATCCAATGCTAACACTAGTGTAACACTAGCGTAACACTAGTGTAACACTAGCTTATCAAAAGCTAACATTAGCTTATCCAATACTAACACTAGCCTATCCATTGCTAACATTAGCCTATTCAATGCTAAAACTAGACTATCCAACGGTAACATTAGCCTATCCAGTGCCAACTCCTGCCTATTCAATGCTAACAGTAGCTTATCCAATGCTACCATTGGCTTATCCAATGCTAACTCCAGCCTATCTGATGCTAACCCAGGGGTGGGGAACTCCAGGCCTCGAGGGCCGGTTTCCTGCAACTTTTAGATGCGTCTCTACTTCAACACACCTCAGTCAAATAATGAGGCCATTAGCAGGACTCTGGAGAACCTGACTGCACTGAGGAGGTGATTCAGCTATTGGATTCAAGTGTGTTGGACCAGGGAGACATCCAAGAGTTGCAGGACACCGGCCCTCCAGGACCAGGATTGCCCACCCCTGTGCTAACCCCACCCTATCCAATGCTAACACTAGCATATACATTGCTAACAATAGCCTATCCAATACTATCTCCAGCCTATCTGATGCTAACCCCACCCTATCCAATGCTAACTGTAGCCTATCAAATGCTATCTCTAGCCTATCTGACACTAAAGGCCTTCCACTGAAGGTTATTAGCATCAGAGGCTAAGCAGCCTGAGCATGGTCAGCCTCTCCAAAGCTAATGCAGCTCAGAAGTCTGGTTCCTAGTGTCGCCCTTTCACTATTCTGACACTGCTCATCAGCAGCATCGGAATGGTGATAGCCTCCTGCTACCAGGTTGTAGCCGTGACCCTCCACCAATCTCTGTGTCCTCAGAAATCAACCAGTCCAGGACAACTGCCATCGTCTGCTCGCTCCTCCTGTTACTAATCCTGCTGCTCCTCATCATCTCCTTCCTCCTGTGGAGGAGGAGGCTTCTCAGCTCCAGGACTTCAGGTGCAGCAGGTCAGAGGAAGGTGGAGCCAACAGGTGTTCTCTATAACCACAACATGCTGGCAGTCACTGACTACCTGTTCTCCAGGTGAAAGGGAGACCCAGATCTACATGGAGATGCGTGGTAACCATGGCAACAAGGATCAAGAGGAGGCGGAAAAGAAGGAGGAAGAACCTATTTATGGTAAAAACATGACCTCTGACTTCAGACCTCCACGTTGATCTGCAGCTGAAGTTCCCCCTGTTCTTCACAGTTCCCTGTTATCCTGGAGTTCCTGCTGAGCCGGCCGAGAACGTCTATGTCTGATGGCCAATCGGAGCGCTGCACTGTGGGGCCGGCCAAACAGAGTGCTGTGCTGTGGGGCTGGCCAATCAGAACGCTATGCTGCAGGGCTGGCCGATCAGAGGAATTCAGGATAGGCCAATCAGAATGCTGTGCTGCAGGGCCGGCCAATCAGAACGCTGCGCTGTGGGGCTGGCCAATCAGAACGCTGTGCTGCAGGGCTGGTCAATCAAGCAATGTGCTGGAGGGCCGGCCAATTGGAGCAATCCGGGAAGGGCCAATCAGAACGCTTCGCTTCAGGGCCAGCAAATCAGAACAATCCGGGACAGGCCAAGCAGAGCACTTTGCTGCAGAGCCGGCCAATCAGAACGCTGTGCAGCAGGGCTGGCCAATCAGAGCAATCCGGGACAGGCCAATCAGAGCACTTTGCTGCAGGGCCAGCCAATCAGAGCGCTGCAAGGCTGGCACTCAGCTGTGATTGGCTGAGCTGTTAAACTGTTTTCCTTTCTACCAAATAAAGAAATAAATTAACCCAGACATTGATGTTAGAACCTGCTGATGTCTTTCTCTTCAGCTCCGGCCAGGTTCCTGTCAGACAGAACCAGGTCCGTTCCAGTTTTTTCTGCCTGGTTCTGCTTCATGGACTCAGAACCAGAATTCTGGGACCATCTGGACCTGCAGCTTGGTTTATGATCAGAGTCCTGGAGGTTCTGGAGGTTCTGGAGGCCTGCTCTGTGACCCAGGAGAAAGTTCTGGTGATGTTACACATCTGAACCGGTTCATCATCAGGCCACAGGAAGCCGGTGGAGCTCTGATCTCTGGGACAGGAAGTGGTTTCAGAATAAATGTCATCAGAACAATTGTCATGTGTCAGAGTTGACACCTATTAAACACAGCAAATAACACAGGAAAGAAACACAGCAAATAACACAGGAAAGACAAGAGAGAGTTAGATTCTGAATACTCGCGAGGAGAACAGACAGAGATGTGCTTTCAGTTACAATCTCCTGCTGCTCTGAAGCACATTTGCCTGCTTCTCTCTTTTTACTGTCTTTAGGATCCCTGATCACAGAGAGCGCTGTAACTCTAAAGGGAGGGGGAAAGACACTTCATCACACAGTCACAGCGCCAAGATTATCGCTAACTAACAACACAATCTATCTAACACTAGCTTATCCAGTTCCTGACCCAGGATCAAACAGGACAAGTTGTGAATCTTCACGTCGATGGTTTTATAGCTATCTAAGAGGTCAAAAGCAGGGCTTTATGTGAAGAGCTGCTGTCTCTGCTCTTCTTCAGAGAGGCCCTCTGAGAAAGGAAATCAGAGTGATTAACAACACAGAAACATTTCTTAAAAGATATGACTAAACAAATAAGAGTACATAAGGTAAGAACATATAAAACAGTATAACAAATTGTTGATAATACCTAAATTTACCTAACATGTTACTCAAGTTAACAGGTTAGAGGTGACATGTTAACTTGAGAAAGTGACTTGGAACTCAGAGCTCCACCTGCTGGCAGAAACACATCACCAAAGGTGGAGGATCCAGAGATCCAACTCCAGTCATGATATTACATTAAAGTTAAAGTACTGTGTAACCCAGCTACTCCTGAATAAACATTATCTTCACAAGTTACTGAAGTAACTGAGTAAATGTAACTAGTTATTCTGCAGTGAAGAGGACAGAGGCTGAGTGATCTAAAACCCTTAATGAATGAAATGACTTTCTGAGGACGAAACAAGAAGCTGACAAACATTCATAAACTCAGAAAATCCTCCAGATCACCTCCAGCAGATTAAAGATGGCCACCATGAAGGCCGCAGGTCAGCAAGAGGCCATCATGGTGGACATGGACTCTGTCCTCAAAGGCAGACGACCAGCATCTTAAGGACTCCCCCTCCGTCAGGTGAGCCTGATACTGAAGGAAGTCCAGAGGTTCCAGTATCAACCCGGTTCATGTACCAGACCATGGGGAAACGGTACTGATGCTCTTCTGAAGTCCAGTGAGTAGTCCGCTGTGGACTCTTCTGAAGTCCACAGCGGTTCTGTGAGCCATCTCCATGAGGATGTTTCAGACAGCAGTAAAGACACAGAGCCGCCCAACAGGGGGCGCCACAGTAGACACAAGGCTTTTATTGTTTGATTCAGTAGGATTACACGAGATTGGATCAGAACCAACACCCAGAAGTCAGAAACAGGTCATGATTTAAAAAAGATTCTGATGATCAGGAAATATTCAGGCATTAAAATCAGAGAAACTTCATCACAGGATGGTGATCTGCTCCTCTTCATCTTCCTTCTCTGCTTTGTCTTCATCCTTCCGGTCCAGAGTCTGCACACAGATTGTATCAGAACCATGAGCATCACCTTCAGCCTCACATCCACCAGCAACAGCCAATAAGAGCTCAGGTTTACTCAACACGCCTGGACCATTCCTCGACACAAAGGATTCGCGTTACTGCCATCTAGTGGTCAGATTTATGTCAGGTTATTATTCTCAAACTGTGGTCCCCGGATCGTTGGTGGTCCGCAGGCGCTCATGTAAACGACCGCTTATTTGCCGTGATGTCAGCTCAAAGTGCGACGGTACAGCTAGCTTACCAAAGGACTGTTAAAAATAATAATGGAAAACTGGTTTTAAACCGGGTCACTCAAAAGAAAAGCTTCAGATCCAGAACCAATCCCAGAGCAGAGCTAGTACCAGAGTCAATCCCAAAGCTAGTCCCAGAGCTAATCCCAGAACTAGTACCAGAGCCAATCCCAGAGCTAGTCCCAGAGCTAATCCCAGAACTAGTACCAGAGCCAATCCCAGAGCTAGTCCCAGAGCTAATCCCAGAACTAGTACCAGAGCCAATCCCAAAGCTAGTCCCAGAGCTAATCCCAGAACTAGTACCAGAGTCAATCCCAGAGCTAGTCCCGCTCAAAGCCGCTAACAGTGTTCCGACTGCTTTCAGTTCTGGTTCTGTTAAACACAGCTAGCTATCTGATGGCTAACAGTTAGTTTACAGTCGGCTAACGATTACATTTCCGGTAGCTAACAGGTAATAGTTAGTTAACAGATGAGTATCAGATGAGTATTCTGTGATGTATTTCAGGTGTGTATCAGAGGTGTGTATTCTCAGGTGAGTCTCAGACAGTGCGGTGGCAGCGCTCACCAGGAACAGCAACGTGTGGTGAATGATGAACTCCCTGGTGAGTGCGATCATGTCCTGGCTCATGACGTGGAACATGGAGGGTGCCAGAACCACGGCCAGGTTGTGGGCCGACATCTTGTTGTCCAGAGAGAACACCTGGACCCTGGACAGAGTGGGAGGAGCTAGTGAGCAAGTTGACGTCAGGCAGGTAATCATGTCAGGGTTCGGCTCGGTTACATGTAAAGGTGTCCAAACATCACGTTCAGGGTGGCTCTGTTGTCAGGGGGTAGTTGCTGTAGCAACCGTCGGTACTCTTTGAACCTACTGCGCTCCTCTGGAATCACTGGGAGACAATAACTGGTTAGACTGGTGGCTGCAGGTGAAGACGCTTCACCTGTAGGGTGGAGGGGGCCGTACCTGCTGCCTTCTGCCACTGCTGCAGCTCCGCCTGCGGCACCAGGCTATGCTGGTCCCGGATGACCTGCTTGAGGGCGGAGCCAACGTCCAGGACACCCTGCTCATCAGCCTCCAAGGGGGCAGAGTTTGGTGATGTCATCAGGGCCTTCACCAGCTCTTTGACCTTCAGCGCCAGGCCACAGCGCCGGTACAGGCCCTCCACCTTCAGCCCTGCACACAGGTATGCTCCGCCCACTCAGGTTTCCATGGAAACACTCTAATACAGTTTAGCCCAGTTTAGATCAACAGCGGTTCTGGTTCTGCTGTAGGCAATCAGGTCAGTCAGGAGGTTTTGGTACCCAACTGGTTCTGGTCCATCAATTGGACCGACCCGGTCCATCAGAATCAGACTTGGGCCACTGATCTGGACATGGACCCTATTGGTTCTGCTTCAGATTCTACAGCTGGATCAGAACCTTCACTTGGATAATTCAGAACCAGGTTCTGACACGGCAGCTCTCTGGTCCACTTCCTGTTGCCACAGCTTCCTGACAACAGGGAGTGGACTTCTGACCCAGACTCACCATAGGTGGTGATGTGTGAGATGCAGCGCTGGATGGCCGGGGAAACAGAACCTTTCACGGCGCCGTCGGTCACCACGTTCTGACCCAACCCAGCTGGGTTCTGATTGGCTGGCGGTGGCCCCTCAGAAGCTGCATGCTGATTGGCTAGAGCGCTCTTCAGGTGCTGGAACCAGGTCTCACTGCTGAGTTGCTCCTCAAAGCGTAACGACACGGTCCTGATGGGAGAACAGCTGTCCAGGCTCAGCCAATCACAACTGGGGAAGAGCTGCTCTCCGTATGAATACTTTTGGACTGGACTGAAGGCGTGTGAAAGACTCACCTTTCTGCTGTTACCAAGGTTACGGTGTCTTCATGCAAAACTGTCTCTGAAAGAGGAAAGAGATCCAAATGGAAAAAATTTAACATCAACTCAACCTGATGGGGAGCAAAGGAGGACAGGTGTGTTCTCTAGAAAGAACAGGAATGACGATATACATTAATTTCCTAAGGGTGTGAATATTTAGGGCTGTAAATATTTTTAGGGGGTGAATATTTTGGGGTCAGCCAGTACGACTCTACCTGTGGGACTGAGCATGCTCAGTGGGAAGCTCAGGCTGTGCTGCCCGGCTCTCTCCACCGGGTGGAGGCTGACTCCTTCATCCCACAGCAGCAGCCAGGCGTCAGACTGAGTGGAAGCCCCGCTCACATCCACCATGCGTACCTTGCTGACGGCTGAGGCCCCGCCCACCTCGGCGTAGGACACTCCTCCTGGTAGAATGACCTGAAGGCAGGGCAGAGGTCAGTGTGTCTGCCTCGGCAGCAGCTGCAGGGGCAGCAGTGGCAGCAGCAGCAGGTTTCTACCTTCAGGATGTGCACCAGGTGATTCTGCAGCGAGTCGCTGTCGTCGGCAGCACAGACCATGTGATCATTCAGCGTCACCATCTCAAACTGGGGCTTCGACCTGAAACAGCCACAGGTCACGGGATCAGAATTGGAAAACTGAACGGATCAGTCCTGAGGCTGCAGCATCTCTCTATCAAAATCTACGTCTGGTGACTAGCATCAGCATGCTAACTCTTCAAGTCTTTTCATATTTCAACAGCCATTTTTCTTTTCAAGATGGCAGTAATTTTGAAGCCTTTTAGACCAATTTTGAAGCCTTTTAGACCAATTGAGGCAATCAAATGCCTCATCGTTTGTTTTCCACTTTGCTCATCCGGTTCATAATCTTCTAAAGTGAATCAGAAACTGAGGAGCTAGCTGTTATCCAGCCTCACTTCAGGCGTCAACCGTAAAGCCATGAAGATGAAACACAGACTGACACAGGCGTCTTCATGGTTATCGTTAGTAGCTGTTAGTCTCTAAGTGCTTAGCTTACAGTCAGCTTCTGGTAATTATTTTGTTTAGCAGCTTAGTGTAATCTTTTGCTAGTTTTCTGTTTTTGGTGGTATAGCGATAGCAGAGCTAAGATTCTTGTTTTGTGAATTAGTGGTTGGTGAAGCTAACTTTGGTTAGCTGTGCTGCGCTACTGCTGATTTTAGTACTAATCCATTGTTCATTACATACATGGTGGCCATCTTGAGAAATCAAAAATATTTTCACTAAATATTTTTGTGTCCAGTTATTTCTGATTTGATACAAAAAGTATTCATCTGTGATAAATATTGGCAAATTTAGTTAAGTTTCATTGACAGCTATGACCACCATCTTGAATGTTTTTAGTGGCTAGCATTTCTTTTTTTTTCTTTTCTTTTTTTTTAA